AGATTCAGTGAGAAATGGCAGCAGTTAGGAAAGGATAGAACTAATGTGCAGGTTTTTTTTGTGTGTTTGGTGTTTGTTTTTGACTTTCCCTTTCACCTCTTATCTGCTCTGGGTGAGTAGGCTGCTACTGTGTAATTCCATCTCTGCATCTAAGCAGTGGGAAAGAAAATTACTTAGGGTGCCTCATTTTGTATTTTGTAAGGTTGACAGCAAGAAAGTTTTGGTGTATACAGGTGTGTGTCTCCAAGGGTAACAGCAGAATATCAGTTTCTGTCACTAGTAGTGTTCAGAAATCTTGCTAGGGTCATTGATCTCTGTCAGAATTTGGAAAGCATTTGTGTACTCATTAGGGCTCATAACCAAGGTACAACTGCACCCATTCCATGAGGCAGTTCCCCGGTGGATGCCAAGGAGACTTGGAGACTTGGTGACAGAATATTGCTTTGAATTTGAAGAGTAAGAATGTCTACCTAGACCTCAATCCAGTAGCCATGAGCAACTTCTCCCAGGAACCCTTGACCAGAGCGAGGCCTAGGGCAAACTGTTCACCTTGGCTGTCCATGTGGTCTCTGATTCATCTTTCATTATCCCTCTGATTTCTTCAGGTCTGGTTGAGGTGGTGAGGAAATAGAGCATGTTTTTTATGAGTCCTGTTGCATTTAAATTTCAGAAGACACGTCAAACAACTTAACTAGTAATTGACTATGTAGGTATTTGAACCCATATTTGTCTGATTTCCATAGCTACTGCCTTTTGCCATAATTGGGACTTTTCTTTCATTCTCAATTTCTGAAATTGTGTTTTTCCTCTTCTAACTATCTAGAATTCTCTGTGAAGTTTTGAATGCCTGCTGACTTATGAAAATGAGTCTTGGTTGAATACTTTTTAAATGGTTTTCTATTCTAGTGGCTTTGGGAGGGATGGGAGAGGCTAATGACTTACAAGGTATCCAAGCTAGTCTATTATGGAGAGCATCTGTTGTTGCCTACAGTTATAAATTTCAAACTTGTTTAGATTCTGCTTATGTGTTAAATTTCAGTTTCTTCAGTTAGTCTTTTTGTATCTTGGATGATTTATATCTTTCTGGGGAATCATTTAGAGTATGTATTTTTTTAAACAAGTGGTCTGTATAAAGACTGGGACAGGCAGATATATATCCCACTCACTCAAATGTCTGGACTACACAGGGCAGTTCTGCTTGATGTTTGTTGCAGAAATGGCATCATCAAATGCTAACAACTGGTTTATTTTCATCTTAACATCATGTTTAAAACTTTCCTTTCGTTTTTTTTTTTTCTGCTTTCCAGCTTAGTGTCACTCTGCTGACTGGCAGAGATAGGAGAAGTCGATGTCCACGCCCACAGACCCGGCTGCAATGCCCCATCCCGGGCCCTCACCAGGGCCTGGACCATCCCCTGGACCAATTCTGGGGCCTAGTCCAGGACCAGGACCATCCCCAGGTTCTGTCCACAGCATGATGGGGCCAAGTCCTGGACCTCCCAGTGTCTCGCACCCTATGCCAACAATGGGCTCTGCTGACTTCCCACAGGAAGGCATGCATCAGCTGCATAAGGTAAGAGTCTATCCTGCTACTTGATCTATTTTTCTGAGTCACAGGTGGCTAATATTCTTGATAACATCTCTTTTTTCTATGAGTTAATAGGAGAATTACACTAGATCTTTCCCTTATCCTGTATATTATTAATGGACATTCTGAGGCACTTTCATTGCTACAGATGCACCAGCTGTGAAGATCAGATGTTGGCTTTTTCAAATACTAAGGTAGACTATGCAATTCTGACAGATTCTGTGATTTAGGGGTTGAAGGTATTTTGGCTTGGTGAATGAATAGATTAGCAAATAAGTCTTCTTTTTTTCTGTGTTAAGAAACCCATCATCCATGAACAAACATACTGAAAATTATTCTTTCCTAACAAGGTTGAAATTTATTTTAAAAAATCAGATACCTAAAAGTAAAAGGAAAAAAGTCCTTTTCTAAAGATATTTTTAAAGGCTTTATTGAAATTAAATAGTTTTTAGGGAATCTTCAAAATGCACATTGCTGTCTCTCTATGAACTAGTCTTCTTCTGGTTTTGGGGGAAAGCTTTGATTTTGTGAAGTTCACATCCAGTTGTTGTTTCTAGACTAAGTTTATAATGATCTTCTATTTATGAGACTCAGATTTTTGCTGGTAAAGTTTGACATTATGCCCTCATAGGAAATATGATGAAGAGAGAACAGCCTTCTGAGAAAGTAAACAAGATCCTCTATGACAACTTGCTTCGAAAGTTAGTAGCAGCCAAAGAAAATCTGTAAAGATACTGTATAGTACCTGGAGGTTTTGCCTCATGAGATAAGTACAGGTGTTATACCTCTTTGGATGACATCACAAAAGGGGATGCCTCATGATATTCAGTAGATACATTAAGGTTCTCTGAAGAAACAGAGCCAATGAGATGTACAAAGAGGTTATTATAAGGAGTTGTCTCATGCTGTGATGGAGGCTAAGAAGTCCCACGCTCTTCAGTCAGCAAGCTGGAGACCCAAGAGAGCTGTTGTAGTTTCAATCTGAGTCTAAAGGCCTGTAAACCAGAAGAGTCAATAGTATAAATCCTAATCTGAGGGCAAAAGAACAACATTCTAGCCCAAGCAATTAGACAGAGAGAGCAGCTTTTCCCCTAGTTCTGCTTTTATGTTCTATTCAGGCCCTCCATGAATTAGATGATGTCCTCCCGATGTGGGGAGATCTGCTTTCTTGGGTCTCCCAATTCAAATGTTAATCTCATCCAGGGATAACATTCACAGACACCCAGAAATAATGCTTAACCAAATATATGGGCATCCCATGGCCCAGTCAATTTGACACATAAAGTTAACCATCACAGTGAAAGATACAGACCTAAAGCAACCATTTCTATAGGAAGAGCAAGTGTTTCCTCTGATCATGTAGGACTTTGGGTCAGTTTTAAGGCAGAGCATCAGAGTCCCAAAAGGAAGATCCATTTTAAAAACTGTTGTTTGATGATTTTCAAATCAGGAAAGTAATATATACTTATTTTGAAAAGTGAAATAGTACTGAGATAAGTAAAGATAAGTTTTGCCCAGATAACAGCTGATTATACCTGCATCTTACACCTTACTTTCCCCATGTGCATTAAAAGTACCATATTAGCATAGTTATGCATATACAGGTGTGATTTTTCCCATAGTAGAATCATTATCTCTATTAATTACTCTGAAACTTCTTTCTTTTAATAATATATTATGAATATCCTTGCAGTAACCCCAAGTTCTCTCCCTCCTTTTTAAAATCTATCATTAGCTTGTCAGATAGCTAGAGAAATAAAGTTTCTTATTTTTCATGTCATTTTTCATGGAGACATATTAACATACTAAAGTCATTAAATTATGTGTTTAAGCCAGGTGCTGGTAGCTCACTCCTGTAATCCTAGCTACTCAGGAGGCGGAGATTTGGAGTATCACGGTTCGAAGCCAGCCTAGGCAAATAGCTCACGAGACCCTATCTTGAAAAAATCCTTCACAAAAATAGAGCTGGTGGAGTGGCTCAAGGTGAAGGCCCTGAGTTCAAGCCCCAGTATGGCAAATAATAATAATAATAATAATGTATGTGTGTGTGTGTGTGTGTGTGTGTGTGTTTAAGCTCGTCTGGGTACAATATTCTGGATCTGATCTGTCACTTGTAAACCTTTGCCCAAGTGGGTTACAGAATTTCAGATTGGTTTGCGGATGGCTCATCTTCAAGTGAAAGAGAAAAATGTAAAGGAAATGTTGAGCTAACCTGTATTTATTGAGCATTTAAAAATTAAGTGTGCAAGGTTTGGAGCCAAGTTCTGCATATTATTATTGTTATTATTGTCTCTTCTGATTCCATCTCTACCTTACTATTTCCTATTCTCTGCCCTGTAAGAAGCATCTTTTTGTTTTGTGTTGTTCTTACCCTGTGAGCTTTGTGATGTTTGCCATCCTGTTTCCCTCCCCTGCAGCCCCTCAGATCGTTCCCTTGCTTGAGGACCTGAATCAACCCTGCAGAGCTCACACCTGCTGTCCAGACGCACTCACTTTCTGACATTCTTTCTCTAGGCACAGTGTTACTTCTTCTTCCTCTGAGCTTTAGCTTTTTGCTTTTCATCATTACTAGAAATAAACAAGTAGCCTAAATGCATCTGCTGTGTTGTGTTGATTTCCTCTCTATTATTACTATTTAACAGACTCAGTGGCACTCTTTATACCATATTCTTCCCTTTTTTCTTTGAACATCCTCTTTATGGTAAATTTTTCCTCTTTTCAAGTGCATGCTTTTGACTCGGCAGAAATTAACTTTCTTTTCTCCAAAACTGCAAGCACTCATACTTTCTTGCTTGAAGTCATTTGGTTTCTATAAACTCCTGGAAATATTCCTTTCAGGCTGTGTTGAAGATTGCCATTACATTTTGAGGAGGAATAGACTTTTCCTTCCTCAAACACATGCTCTGTTGCCCAATTCTGGATTGGATTAATGTCAGTTCAATAGCTGTCATGTACTTGGCCTCAAGTCCTGGGTCCAGCCCCTGTGTTTGTCATTTATTTCCAAACTGTGCCTTTTAACCTCTTCCTGCCTTCCTCTCTCTGGAGCATGGTTCTCTGTCTCATACTCCTTCCTTTTCAGTGTTTACCCCCATTTGCTTCTCTGCCCTGTCTGTTCCTCTCTTCCCAACTGCCATGGAACCTTCTGGTTTCAACTTTTTAATGTCCCATAGTTCCTTCCTCAAAAATAAATAGATCATCGCAGACATTTTAAATAGCTTCCTTCATACTTCAGACTAACTTCAACATATAACAAGTTTTAAGGCTACTTAAAATGGTTTGGAAGAATAACTTGTATTTGTCTACTTTCTGAACAGGATTTCATTTTAATGGGATTGGCAGGCTGTGATGTGACCAAAGGAAAAAATTCAACACTTTTTTAAAGCTTTTAACTTTTGACTTACAGATGTTTTTGCTTGTAGGATATTCATTGTGGATCCATGAAGGGCACAGGCGTGCGACCTCCTCACCCAGGAATGGGCCCTCCTCAGAGTCCGATGGATCAACACAGCCAAGGTTTGTGTCTGCCGCGTACCTGATGTGGGCTCCATATCATAGTATTTTAGTCTTTTGACTGTTTTAATTATGACTTCCAAAGAATGTGTCTTAAAGAAGGTTGAATCCAGCCAGTTTCTTTTTTCTGTAGAAATATGCTGTCCTCATCAACACAACTTCATTATTTATATGGGCAATTTTATTTCCAAAGTCCTAGTAATTTTGCTAGCCATCTAGTGTCCAAGCATGCTGCACAGTGCTTTACATACTTGACCCCAAATCTTTACCATGATCTTGTAAGGTAAATGATTTTGCCTCCAATTTGTAGATGGGGAAGCTAAAGCTCAGAGAATTTACTTTGTTTCACTAAGTTTACATAGCCAGTGAGTGATAGGGACAGAGAAAGAATCCCAATCTGCCTGCCAGCAGCAGTGCAGATGTGAAGGTTAGATGAGCCACCTGTGTTCCTTGAGTTGCACAGTTACATATTATGTATAAGGTACCCTTTTCTGGAGATGAAATTATCCATCATTGCTGGGAGTTGGCTGTGTTTGTCTCCTAGGGCTTCCATTGCAAATAACTACAAATTGAGTGGCTTGAAACAAATTTATTCTCTCACAGTTCCGGGGGACAGAAGTTCAAAATCAAGGTGTCAGCTGAGACATGCTGTCTCTGAAGGCTTTAGGGAAAACCCCTTCGTTGTTTCTTCCTAGCCTCTGGTGGTTGCAGTAATCCTTGGCATTCCTGGGTTTATCGATGATTCAGTCTTCATCATCACATGACATTTTTACTGTGTGATGGCTGTCCAATGTCTTTTTTGAAAAAAAACCCCACTTTTTTTCAATATGACTTCATCTTAACTTCATTACATCTACATAGATCCTATTTCCAAATAAGGTTGCATTCACAGGTACAAAGGGGTAGGACATCACCATATTTCTTTGGGATGAAACTAAGATATGGTACGGTTCTTTTCTCCTTCATGCCTTCATGTCATCTTTCCTTCTGTCACTGTTGAAGGTATATTAAGATACCTCAAAGCCTTTTAATTAAATATACTATAGCCTAATTTCCTAATCACTGTGTGGTTATTTTAACATGTTACAGGCAGCCATTAATCTAGCACTAATTGACATTGATGTGTCGGTATTCTAATGTGAGGCTTTTGGTTTATGTGTTCCTGTATACACTTCAACGTAATTAGTGTATGTGAACTTTTCATCCATCTGCAATCATATCTACCAGAGGAAAGACTTTTTGGCTGTAAGGATTTAGAGAAATATATTCACAGTTTTTTTCTTTTTGGAATATAAATAAGCCAGTCATGGAGGCTGATATCAGAATGACTTTCCACTACTATTTGCACAAGCTTCTGAACATCTCAAACTCTGATCTGAATTTTAGTGGTAGGCAGGCATAATTCTAAGAGATGACTTGTAAAATCTTGACCATGTCAGAAAAGCAGTCTCAAGGATTGTGGCTTTTTGCTGCACAGGAAGAAAAATTTGACTTGTTCAGTGTTGAGAATGAATTAAAACAATGTTTCTAGTTATCATTAAATTCTAAAGGGCCAGGTGTGTTCATAGAGCTAATGTTCATCTCATTATTTATATGTGGGAGATGTAGATGAGATATATGTAGTGATTCTTAAAGCCAGATGCTTATTCTTTTTACTCTTGGCATTGTAATACCTCTAGAAGTGATGCTGTAGGACAACCCGCAAACAAAAAAACACCTTAAGTGTGTAGATCATGATGGAGAACAGTTTTACTTTTACTTCTTTTAAGATTTCTCTGTTACTTGGCTCCCCTCTCCAACTTAAGAATGGTATCTTCTTTAGTTTGGAACCTTCAGTACTTGACAGGATGTCTAGCATATGACTGGATAGATACTTAGTAAATTTCATTCAATTAGGTATAAAAATAAATCCATGCATTCAAAATTCAATAATTTTAAATAGATCTCAATTTTTCTATAAGTTCCATAAACTGTAATTACTTTGAAATGCAAAGGTATACATTCAATGGAGTCCAAATTCATGTGTAATATTATTCTCTAAAATAGTAAAAAGCATTGTAGACTGGTGAGAAAGTTATTCAAAGTGATGTTTTTGAATAAAGCAGTGTTGGTATAATGCAGTCCTGTTCTACATAATAATATAAAAAGAATTTAGTCTTGGTTATAACATGCATCTTTAAAAAAAATTGCAGAAAGCCATTTCTAAACACAGGTACAGGAAGGTGTGGTATTGATCAGAAAGCTGCCAGCTTTAACTACCTAGCAACATATTAGGTTACTTTAGGGTATTGGTTGAGAAGCAAAACTTTCCCTTCAATAAATACTGAATTGTGTGCCTTATGGTCCCAATGATAACATTATTTATTTTTAGTGCATTGGATAGAAAAAGTCTTTATAGGCATACACGTGTGTGTGTGTGTCTAGAGAAAGCTCATATAAAATTGGCACTTACAAGTTCAAGATTATTAATAAGAGAGAGCTTATTGCTTCTCTCCAAGGCAAGGTGAAGCTGGGTAGATAATGGCCCTTGAAGACCAGGGAAGGAAAACTGCCATTGTTTAACTATATTTGAATGAGAAAATCAAACAATATTTCAGAAAGAGCAAAATCTGCATCAGCATTGTTATCCTCAGACAAATGTATATTCACACTGAGGTAACTTCTTCATTCTGTTTTCTCAACTAAGGATAATTACCAAAATTTATTATCTTGTTGCATCATTGAGATTCTGCTTTATGGAATGCTACTCATGTAGGAAAAAAAAACCTCTCTCTGTATCTCAGACACTGTCACATTTTTAATGTCACACTGTGACAGAATGATTCTATTAACATCCTTTGAAAATTCTGGGGAATAATTTCTTCCCACCCCCAGTTTCTTCTTAACAATTTAAAGTAAAATTTTTGCTGTATTGATTTTTATTCTACTCGCAATTTCTTTTTTGTCAAATTTGAGGTAAGGTTTTTGGGATTGATTTTTTTTCCAGTGACCAGGTATGTTAGTCAACTTTGCATCATTGTTACAAAATATTTTAAAAAATGACTTAGAAGGAGGAAAAGTTTATTTTAGCTGGATTTCATATATTCCAATCCTTTTGCTTGGCGCTGTTGCCTTGGGCCCATGGCGGCATAGTATATTAGCAAGAGCAAGTGGTGGAAGAGGCCTCATAGCATCCTGGAAACACAGAAGGAAACACAAAGAGGCCAGAATCCAAACATCCCCATCAAGGGTATATCCCCAATGGCCTAACTTCTTCCATTAGGCCCTACTCTTAAAGGCTCTACCACCTCCCAGTAGTGCTAAGCTAAGGGCCAAACTTTCATTCAACACATGAGCCTCTGGGGAACATTCCAGATACCAGATATAGCACTAGGTTCTCTTTTCAGAGTTTGAGTTCTTGTGTTTATTTTAACTATCTCGTCTTTTAACACTACCCTACCATTGTCTCACCTTCATGACCAAGCCTTGTTTGTAGTTTAAAAGAGTGATTTAATAATTGAGTTTCAACTTGATTGTCTAACAATTTTGGTCCATTGTATCAGGAATCCTATGACTTGTCATGAGTGAGCTTATAATTGACAGCAATAGAAATAGGAAAGACCAGGAAGCTGGAGACACATGATACACACTATCCTTGTAGTCTTTCTACTCTGAAAATGTAAATTTTTATAGTGGAAAGTTTTTTTTCCCTCTTATAGTAGATTCAGGGATGGCCAGAAAGGTGTGTAAGGAATAAACTACCATTTTGCATGAGCATTACAACCAAACTTCATTAACAAGGAAAAATACTAATGACAAACGTGAAGAATATGCTATTGATAGCCTGTAAACATTATTGAAAATAATAAGTTGGGATTTAAATTTCTGCTAGTTTTGCAGTCTGATTTCAGGGGGACTTTATTGGCTAACTTATATAACCAGCTCACTAGAACCTTCTTCATGGCATTGTTTTTGTGCTCCCTCACAGAATAGGGATTTGAGGAATGAGACTTAGTGATTCTTCCATTTCTCTCCAGGGAAAGAGTTCCTTAAATGGAGTTCTGCTTTTCACAAATTGATAGAACAAGACTAATTTTTGTCTCAGGGGAATCATGTTAAATTTGTTTTTCTCTCCAAATGGCAATTGGAGACAAAGGTATATTTGTATATTCTTGAAAATGGTGATGGTGTGTCCTCAGTCAGTGGAGGTCACGTATCTGTGGGCCTCTGGAGATGCACACAGTTCTTTCTTTCTTTCTTTTTTTTCATGAAACTTATAGTTTAACATGAGAAGCGACCAGAAGGAAGTAAAAATACCAACATACAGTTGTCCTTCTGTATTTACAGAGGATGGGTTCAGAACCCTTGCAGGTACCCAAATTTATAGTTCTCAAGTCCCTTATATAAAATGCCATAATACTTGCATCTATTCTACACACAGCCATCTTCCTATTTACTTTAAATCACCTCTGAATTGATGGTAATACAATTGCAATGCTCATGTTATATAATTGTGAAGAGAAGAAAGACAAGAAAAGTCTACATAAATTCAATACAGATGTGACTTCCAAACATTTAAAAAATTTTAATTGACACAGAATGTACATCTTAATGGGATATAGTGTGACATTTCACTCTAGCTCATAGAGTTCTTTCAGTTTAGACTTAACATAGGTTCAAATATATAGCACTTACCTAATAAATAGTCATATGATGACCTTTATATTAATTATGACATAGGTATATTCATTAAAGGACAAAGACCTTTCATCTATGTGTGTATATTCTTTTGGGGAATGCCACTGACTTTATTAAAATTGGTATTTTGTGTGAACTTAAGGCAGCCTTTTGGATTGCTGGAGTCACTTTGTGCCCTCCTTTATCTTGGCTCTCCCTCCCTCAGTACTCAGTTACGTGTTTTTCTAGGAATTGTTTGGCCAGGCTGTGCACATCATCTCCTGGAATAAGTTTCTTGAGATTTTTGCACATTTTGATTTTTCTTCCCCAAGGAAAGCACTCTAAAATTTCTCCACTTATATCTCCACAGGTTACTTTCATTTTTATATTATATTGTAAGTGGTGTGCATGGAGACCTTTGAAACTTTTATATCATTAACTTATTTTTTGCATAAAAAAGCTTGTATTCGATTATGAAATGATGTTATTCATTGTAACCAGATAGACTTTGGCTTAAATCTTGGAACTGCCAAGATTTACCTATGTGACTTTGAGTAATTCATTTTCTGAGACTGAGTTTCCTCATTTTAAAAATGAGGAAATTCATTGATGTAACAATGAATACCTTGTAGGGCTGTTGTAAGGATGGATGTAACAGTATATGTTCTCTCCTATGTTCTCAGGTCCCCTTTACAAGTTCTGTAACCCCATCATTGGCCAGAATCACTGTCTTAGTTTGCCTTCTACTGGCAACCACCTTACCCACACTGGAGCAATCTCAGGTTACCAGTGACCCCCAGAACAATAGTGGTAACTAGTGACTTAACCAGTGATTAATGATTGTAAGAGTCTAGGTACCCTAGCTTATTCACTCCTTTCCTGGGATAATCATAGGTAGTTTATTTATCTTATATCTCAGAGCTTTTTCACTGGATTAATCTTCAGGACCCACTGTAGCAGCTGGCTTCATAATGCACTTCTTATTGGCAGCCTTCCCATCCATATATCACCTTTCACACCCCTACCAGTGTTCCTGAACCTCCCAAATAAATCACCTGCACTCAATTCCTAGATCAGCCTCTGCTTCTAGGGAAAATTCAGCTGAGATAGTGTGTACTGTCCCTTGTACAGTACCTACAACATTGTAAGCCCTCAATCATTGCAAATTAGTCACCACTGGCATAAATAGTCATCAAATAGTCACCAAATAATATTTGCTCTTCCCTTAAGACACTCTTAATTCTCCACTGAGCTGTATTAGAGCCCTTCAGGTTTTGTTGTCTAGATTGGAGCTACTTTTAACATACAGTACTATCCTTTGGTGCCTTTCCATTAGGTGTACAACAACCACTAACACTTTGCCTTCTGGGATACAAGTGGCTATTGATCACTTGAAATGTGGTCAATAGAGTCCAAATAAAGATGTGCTGTGAGTGTAAAATACTGAATTTGAAAGACTTATTATGAAAAAACAAGCAAAGTAGCTCATTGAAATGTTAATAGTTTGGATATGTTAGTTAAAATAAACTGTATTATTAAAATTGCCTTTACCTATTTCTTTTACCTTTTAAATGTAGCTACTAGAAAAAAATTAATTACTTACATAAAGTATATATTATAAAATAAAAAAATTAAACAACATGTAATTATTAAATTATACACAATTTAAATTTCTTTCATGTGGTATTGTTCTAGAAAATTATCCAAGTATTCAGGAATACTTCTCTTTTAGGGTCATCCGGGGCAGCCTGTCATCATCACCTTGTGTTTTTGTTTTAGGTTACATGTCACCACACCCATCTCCATTGGGAGCCCCAGAGCACGTCTCCAGCCCTATATCTGGAGGAGGCCCAACCCCACCTCAGATGCCACCCAGCCAGCCAGGACCCCTCGTTCCTGGTGATCTGCAGGCGATGAACCAGCCCAACAGAGGTCCCTCACCTTTCAGTCCTGTCCAGCTGCACCAGCTTCGAGCTCAGATTTTAGCTTACAAAATGTTGGCCCGGGGCCAGCCCCTTCCCGAAACATTGCAGCTTGCAGTCCAGGGAAAAAGGACGTTGCCTGGCCTGCAGCAGCAACAGCAACAGCAGCAGCAGCAGCAGCAGCAACAGCAGCAGCAGCAGCAGCAACAGCAGCAGCAGCAGCAGCAGCAACAGCAACAGCAGGCACCACAGCCACAACCCCAGCAGCAGCAGGCAACTCTTGTTAGCTACAACAGACCATCTGGTAGGTTAATGTGCAACCAAATGGATAACACCATGGTCCAGCTCGGATAAGAAAGCCTGCTCACACACACAAGTGCTGCTTGGTATAAACCAGGGGCTGACTTAGCCTTTTGTCATGCTGCCCTTTCTTGTTTCTCTTAGATTGTCTGAGATTATTGGTCTCCTCCTGTTTATAAAATCCTAGAGCAGTCTTTCTTGACCTTTGGAGATTCATACTAGCTATGGACCTAGGGGAAAAAAAAACACACTCACCTATGATTTTACATTCTCTTTCAGAAAGTCCAAGGTTACTTAGAAGCCTATCCATTTAGCCAAGGTTAGGAACCTCTGTATCCACTGCATTCCATGAACAAAACCTCCTCCTCCTTCTGAGCCATTTTATAAATGTTGATTTATTTTTTTCTTCCTCTTATTGTTGGGAAAACATTTGATGAGATATACAAAAAGTTCGCCTGTTGTAAAATAATTTTCAAGGAAAAAATTAGGAATAAGAAATGAAGTAAGAAATGGAGGTCAGGAATGTGGAGGCTACCGAGCCCTCAGAGCTTCTGTGGCCAAGCTTCCAAAATGACTTGAATTTCCTGACAGAGCCACAAGGAGCCAAGGTGATATACCTGATTCTCACATTCAGAAGGAAGTTGCTTACCACCTTTGCAGAGGGCACAAAGTCATTTCTGGTATGAGAATATAAAGTAGATTTCCCAGAAGAAATTATTCTTTAAACTACAGTTGTTCTTTGGTATCTGAGGGGGGATTGGTTCTAGATACCAAAATCCATGACGCTTGAATTCTTTATATCGAATGTGCTGTAGGCTCTGTGCTCCTTTACCTAGCGGCCTGCCATTTTCTCCCTTTTTAATGACATCCTAGTACATCTTTACTTTCTCCTACAAAAGAAATGTGCTGTAATATTTGCCTAAAACCTATGCATATCCTTCCGTATACTTTAAATCATCCCCAGATCACTTATAATGCCAAATACAATGTGAATGCTCTGTGAATAGTTGTTATATTATACTGTTTAGGGAATAATGACAAGGACGGGAAGTCTGCACATGTTCAGTACAGGTGCAATTTTTTCTGCATGTTTTCCATCCTAGGTTGGTTGAGGTTGCAGATGTGGAACCCACAGATATGAAAGCCTGACTTTATTAGTATCATCTTCTCATTATTGTTTCTGTAAGAGGCTTTACATGATAGAAAGTATACTAGTACTCATAGCAGAGTAACAGAATCCACATGGCCTATTTCTTCCACTCCCTGGGGTAAAATCAGTTGCATAATGATATTATACAACAGGTAGAGATAATATAGTCCAGGTTGTCAGCTTGATCCCAGTAATAGGATTCAGAGGTCTGTAGAGTGGTCTTCTGTGAAGGTTATCTCCTCTAGGATGGTTTTTGTTAAGTACTGGGTAAGCAGAGAGTTTTTTTGGCTCACCTCTGATGAGAGCTTTGGATTGTGGGAATGGAATGCTCCCTAGGCATTGATACCATTTCCCATGGATGGTTTCCATTCATTTGGGCAAGACCTGACATACTGGTCACTGAGGACAATTAATTTGGGATATTGGTACTCTTCCTAGGTTTTGGAACCTGGACAGTGGAAAAGAATTCAGATTAGTATTTTTCAATACTCTTAGTTTTTCACTTTGTGTTTCTTTTCTAATGCACCTCTAAGAATTGTGCTACCTGAAAGACAAACTCTTCTTGGTAATTGTCATTGTAGCATGAAGAATGGGTGTCTTAAGCCAGGTGTGGTGGTGTACATCTGTAACCCAGCACTCATGAGTCAGGCCAGCTTGGCTACATAGTGAGACCCTGTCTCAAAAACAACAACAACAAAAGGCCAGGCGCAATAGCTGACGTCCATAATCCTAAACTGCTTGGGAGGTGGAGATCAGGAAGATGGTGGTTTGAGGCCAGCCTAGGCAAAAAGTTAGCAAGAGCCTATCTCAACTAATGAAGCTGGGAGTGGTGACATGTTCCTGTCATCTCAGCTACACAGAAGGCATAAATAAAGAATATCACAGTCCAGGCTGGCCTGGGAAAAAAATGCCACACACCCTATTAAAAAGATAAAACAAAAAGGGTTGGGTGCATGACTAAAGCAGTGGAGCAACTGCCGAGTAAGTGCTCTGAGTTCAAACCCCAGTACTGAAAATAAAAAAAAAAAGGAAAAGAAAAAGAATGTATGTCTTAGGGAATGTACATTCGCTCAATTATAAGCCCCAAATCAGGGTGCTAGCAGATTTGGTGTCTGGTAAGGGTCCACTTTCTGGTTTTTGCTGTGACCCCTGCTTAACTAGAAGGAGCAGGGAACTCTTTCATAGAGACACTAATCCATTCATGAAAACTCTTCCTTCCTGCCTAATTATCTCCTAAAGGCCTTACCTCCTCATACCATCTACTTGGGGGTTAGGATTTCAACGTACGAACTTGGCAGGGGCGGGGTGGGGTACACAAATGTTCAGACCATATCAATGGATTTTTCTTTTGTTTTGTCTTCCTTTTCCTTTCTGTTTCTTTATACATAATTATATATATGTAATTCCATATGTATATGGAATTTTAAAGAGCAAAAATATATAATTTCATCTCCATATTTTTGTGTGGCTACCATGGAGCCATTTAGTTTGATAAAACTCATATAGGACCAAATGGTAGGGCTGGGAAGGACATACAGTAAAAAGGTAAAGAAAATGTCAGTTTGAACCTTCAGCACATTTTAAAACTGTGACACTTCAGTTCTCTAGAATGCAGCCAGGAGAAGAGAGTAATATGTGCATGCACGCGTGTGTGTAGCGTGGACTCACTGAGTGCCTGCTCGTTCCCCTGTCACCCTCCTCGGTAAGAAGCACTTTGCACATGTCACACATACCCCCTTGTGGAGGTAGAGTCAGAATCCAGACTGAAGCAGTCTTACATGAGAGTACATTCTTGACCATTTCCCTCTACAGGCTTCTTCCAAGGCAGAATTCTCAGCAAAAGGGAAAGGAGGGATTGCCAAGTATGGGTAGCAGAATGCAAACCTTCTTCTCCCGTGTGTTCAGAGCAGAGCATCATCTCAGCTTCTTACATAGAACATTTTTATTCTTAGTCCAGGCACGGTGTCAGTAGAGTTTGTCATTTTCTCTCACATCTGGAGACATGAGCAATGATAACTAAAAAGGTTTTAAGCAGAGGCCATCTGGTCACAACCAGGTAACTGCTGGCTTGATGGAGAAAAGGAAGCAAAATCTGAACCTCCCAGAAGGCAGTGGTCTGGATCTTTGTCATACAGGCACTGTATGAAACCTTTTCATCCAAGGTTAAAATAATGAGACTGAATGAAGTGTAAAATTTAAAGAAAAAAGGTTTGGCTATTGGGACACATGTGCATAATGAATATTTCATGTCCTAATAAACCCAATTGTGCATGCATGTTTGGACTATTTAGAGAAGAGAGGGATCCTTTTTATTACTGGCCTCCAATACCTACATCTTCCCTTGTCAGATCTCTGTCATCAGAGAGACTTCATTTTATTACTACTGCTGGTGTCTTTTGCCTCTCACAACAGTTGGCAGATAGGGTTTTATGGCAGAGGACAAGAAGGCTGTGCACAAAGAAGGATAAGAAGATACCTCCTTCAAATACACTGACCCATTCCTGCCATCATTAGGAGTATTGATGCAACAGCATTGCAGAACTTGTCCGCAAATGTGATTTCATAGGGAAACAGATAACTTTATTTGACAAAGGTTATTTTGAACTTGTTAATGTTAATATTAAGCTTTCTTTCTTATCTCCCTTAAAAAAAGCATAATTGATTATGAATACCCCTTGCTAGTCTTTCAGAGAAAAATAAATTTAGTTTGTCCCCTTACCTGGAGGTAGTTCATTTCCAGTTTTCTTCTGTCCCTTTTCCAAGTGTTCTTTATAAAAAGAGAATGCTTTGGGCCTCAAATCTACTCCAAAGTTAGTGTTCACCAAAAGTGGCATTGTCCTAGCCACCCCCAGAGAATTCTGGCGTGGCTTGAGATATTGCACACTGAACCTAGCCCTGCAGTGGTTTCCACTCTTACAGTGGAGTGTGTCCTTGCTCCTGTGGGCACCACTCAAGTCTAACATATACTTTTCTTTACATTTTGATTAATTTTCCTTTCAGGGATTAAGGCAAAATGAAAATGGGAACTGAAAACGTTGTGCTTTGTGGAAGGTGAGGAAGGGACATTATGATAGAACATGAAAGGGGTTTTTTGCTCATTTTTTTTCAGTGCTTCCTCCCTCCCCTCTTCACTTGTAGCCATCTGAATTTTCTTGGTTTTCTCAATTTAAACACATTTACTTTTTTCCAACCTGTAGAGACCTCTTAAATTCCAATTTAATGCAGAGAACAGTTATTTGCATGAATATCTTGTGTCCGTATGGGAGCTCTGAATGCACAGAAATTCTGTCCATGAGAGCCTTAGGTAATTTAATTACTTTGTTGCCCCATTTCTTTAAAACCTGTATGATGGATGCATCCACTGAAGACCCTCTTGAGCAGTGCTGGGACCCTGTTTTGGAGGGCCAGGCATGACTCCACTTTGACACCTAAGCCTCTGCTGAAGTCCAGCAGACCACATTTTGTACCTCTGACAATTATGCCTAAATTGTTTATGTTGGAGAGTGGATGAGAGATAAGCTAAAGAAGGCATCGTAAGATATCAGGGAAAGTCTGTAAGTAGTGGACCACGAATGTCTGGTGGGGGTTTCTACAGCTAGAAAGCAAACCTGGCCAGGCAAATGCACTCTGTAAGTCACTTGTGGGGCAGGCACAGAACCCAGTGACTAGGTGGTTACATCCTGGGCCTGTCTAATAATGCAGCAAGCCACATTCAGTGTCCCAGCCTCTAAATAGAAGTATTTATACGATCTTTGGACCCACACAGTAAGTGAACTCGTGATGTTTAGTTAGGAAATGGAGTTTGCTTATAAGTGACTCTCAGAGCAGCTAGCAGGAATCACGTGGCAAGTAGACTTATCCAAGTATTTGTGCTAAGTTGTATTGAATTGTATTAACATTCTAAAACTTGGCTATAAAAAAGAATACTCCCAAGTTGCTAACTAATATGGTACCAGATTTCCTAAAACACCTTCCTTTTGTTGTGGGATTTTCCTGTCAAGCTGAGTATAGTAGTTAAATTAGACTTCTTTATCTTCCTGTCCTTGGTGGCAATAAAGATGAGAAGATCTGAGAGGTGAGCATGTTGATACATTATCTCATTGAATCCTTATCACCACCCTACAAGATAGGCTTTGTTAGTGTCCCAAGGGTACAGATGAGGAAACTGAGGTATGGAGTGCTTAGGTAACTTGCTCAGGCTTATGGCTAGTAGGTGACGTCTTCTAGGAAGATACAGAGTTTTAAAAATGTACTTATTTAGTTCCCAGCAAGTTTTTTTGGTGGTACTGGGGTTTGAACTCAGTCAGGGCCTTATACTTGCTAAACAGGCACTTACCACTTGAGCCACTCCACTAGTCCTTTTTTGTGTTGGATATTTTTGAGATAGAGTTTCCTGAACTATTTGCTGGGGGCTGGCTTTGAACTGTGATTCTCCTGATCTCTGCCTCCTGAGTAGCCAGGATTTCAGGCATGAGCCACTGGCAGCCAGCAATATATAAGTACATGTTTGGGTCTTTATTTCTCAATATTAAGGGTGAATCAACCAGATTCGAATGTCTTTATATTTAGCAATTAAATACCACTAACCATGTATCTATTAGATCTACTTGGAGAAGTACTCTGGACACCTTTCTTTGATTAAATCTGATTTAAAAATAGTGACAAGAATATACTTCAAGGAGTCCTCATAGATTTCTGCCTCCTGCCTCAGTATTCACAGGCAGTACTCAAGAGAGAGAATGAGTGAAGTGTTTACTGTGACTGGATTGTCAGGGCATTTTGAATTAGTTGAACTTTGAAAGGAGGAAAAACACTTTGAGGATGGAATTCAAAGTAATTACTTGGTGTTATTGCATCAGTATGACTCAGTATTACTTTTTATCAAAGGTAGTGGTTTTTAGAGGACCTAAAGCATATTTAGTATGCTTATATGAAGGCTTCCAATATATTTAATTTGACCAGCTTCTTGAGCTTATTAAAGAAATTTGTAGAGTCAGAGAGAATTAGAAACAGAAGTATGTATCGCCTGTTATTTGACTAGGTCATCCTAAAGCAACAGAAATGAAAAATGCACCCTATTCTAAAGATCTCTAGGCTGGGCTTGGTGTTGTGGACCTTAATCCCAGCTACTTGGGAGGTCATAGGTAGGAGGATCTGCCTAGGCTAGTCCCGGGCAAAAATGCTGTGTTCTTGGCTGAAGTGGTAGAGGGACTGCCTAGCAAGTGCAAGGCCTGAGTTCAAGCCCTGGGACCACTAAATTAGAAGAAAAAATAAAAAAAGCCTCTAGGGAAAAAAATATCCTAAAACTTCCCTCTGTAACTCATTCTAATGCTTAACGACCCTAGGATTTCATATTTAGAAACTGGTTTCTTACACAATGGTGAAAGGAGCTCTAAGTAAAAAAAAAATTAGGAATATCTATGAATTATGTAAAAGATCTTCCATTCAGAAAGAAAATCAGAAAATATTTAGCTGAAAAAAAACTTTATTCTGATGATATATATCTAAAACAAAATACCTGAAATAAAAAAAAATTAAAAGGCATGTATTTCCCCCAAGATTCTTTTTTAACAACCCATAGAATCAGGGTTACAGCTTACCTTAGAAGAAATCTTACCTAGCTGTATACCTTTTGGAAAGTTTTGCAAAGAAAGAGTACATGTAAGCACACACATACCTATACACACATATACGTGCACAATTGTAGTTGGATATGCATTGCAGTTTCCTAAGCAATTTGTACTAATTCTTAATATTCTTCCCATCAGAATGCAGTGTTTTGTGCGTGATCATTTAAGTCCATTTCTAACTGGTGTTTGTTGGAACTTGGATAAATGTGTTCCACTTTTCATAATGTATATCTTTATATGATAATCATTAAGCTGCTCTGAAGTATATTGGCTATTATTCTTTAACTTAGTAACTTTATCTTTCTTAGAAAGGATATGAAAAATACTTGTAAGAATGACTACTAGTGGCTTTAACATCTATTTACTGAGATTTTTAAAAAATTTACTAACTCTTCTGATAGCATCACTAATCTTATTTATAATTTAGGGTAACTAAAAATTCCCCTGGGAGAAGAGGTGGAACACTTCTTAGTTTAGATTTAGACGTGGTAATTAATTTAAACTCCTGAAGGTTAATGTAGAAAATGACTTTAACTGAATTTAATAATTCTTAAAGATTTTGATAAGCTTGAAGATTACATGTCATTTTCTTTTGATAACATGTGAAAAAGTCTCTCTTGAATCTTAATGTTAGTTAATTTTTGTGAGGTGAAATGATTTTTTCTGACACTGAATAGTTTTAGAAATATTTGCTAATATAGAGTAAAAAAAAAAAAAAGAAACCCTTAAGTTCCTGAGATTCACTAATTTAGCCTGAGATCTACTTTAAAGGCCACTAAGGAAAAATGTGAGCTTCTCTGAGTTGACATCAGAAGACATGCAAGCTAATTGCTTGTTATGAAGCATTGGTACTCACAGCCAGGACATAGGACAGGGGTCTAGGGTAAAGGGTCTTGCAGGGCTGTGTGCAAAATGGTATTTTTAGGACTACACACAATTGCATTTGATTGTTGTATAATGCCTTTCCTTTCCTGAAGTTTGACTGTACCTGTGATTCCTTTTAAAAACCTACTGTATTACCCACGTTAAAAACTAGCCTGTCGTTTCCTGAATCAGTTTATTACCAAAAAGTCAGTATCTGGGCCATTTGGGGCAATATTCACCAGTGAATGCCATTTCCGCATGGGGATAGATGCCAGATTCCTTTTTCTTTTTATTTCTTCTTCCTTTTCCCCTTTCCCTTTTGTCCTATCCTCTCTTCTCCTTCCTTCCTTTGCCATCTCTCCCCTCAGGTGTTTAAGGCAGTGGTCCCCATCCCTGGGCCCCAAGGCCATTGGAGGCCAGGTGTGGCTGTAGGCATCCTCCCACCTGTCCTGTCCTGCCCATATCTCTCATCCTGTAGGCTCTGGGCCTGACCTGCTGGGTGGCCTCAGCACCCCACAGAAGCTGCCAGTGCCTACTCCCAGCGGCCGCCCTTCACCTGCACCCCCAGCCACCGTGCAGCCACCTGCGGCCTCAGTGCCTGGGCCCTCAGTACAGCAGCCTGCGCCCGGGCAGCCCTCACCCGTCCTGCAGCTGCAACAGAAGCAGAGTCGCATCAGCCCCATCCAGAAACCACAAGGCCTGGACCCAGTGGAGATCCTGCAGGAGCGGGAGTACAGGTACAGCCCAGCCTGGGAGGGGTTAAACCAGGTGACCAGCATTGCCATCACTTGGGCAAGGGCTGAGGTGCCTGCTCCAGTGTGGTCATTGTATTATAGAACAGAAGAAGGGCCAACAGAAAACTTGAGAGGTGGAAACGCAAAGACTTCAGAACAAAGTTGCAGAGAAAAGTTTGTGTGTCATTCAGAGGGCTCAGTGGTGGCTCTCGGTTGGCCAGACTATGACCTTTCACTCATTCAATCAGGAAATTTCTATTCAGCCCCATGGCATTCCAGGCACTGGGGATTTGAAGATCAAAAGGCCAGCCCCAAGTTCCTGTGGCTCTAAGGAAGTGATCATCTCACACCTGGATTATGAAATGCTTTGTTCTTGTTTGTCAGTTTGTCCTTGAGTGACTGAAAAATCAGATGTTGAGTGGATTGGCCTGACCATCACTTAGTGGTGCATCTCATGATACTATAGCATACTTCAGTAGCTTGGTATAATGTAGTCATTGTTTTAATTCATGCATAGTTTGGTCTGTTTGCTTGGTCCAGATTTATGAGTAAACCTTATTATAAATGTCTTCAAATGGCGTTTTTATTTTAAACTCTTAATCCAGAAACTTAATTTTCACCTGATTTGGTGAAAGTTATCTAAAGTTTCTAAAATTTATTTAAATTAGGGGTTGGCAAACTTTTTATATAAAGGACCAGATACAAAATTTTATGCTTTGCAGATCGTATGTCTCAGACACAAATAGCTCTGCCCTTTTTGACGGAAAACACCCATAGACAATCATAGATTTTGTTTGTTGCAATAAAGCTTTATTTAGAAAAACAAACTATAGACAAGATTTGGCCTACGGGCTATAGTTAGCAGACCCCTCATATAAATGGTTAATGTCAACTAAAAAAAGGAGTCCAATAAGTTTTGAGACAAGCTAAAACAAGGCTAAGATTGTGGATTCTGGAGTCTACTGGGAAGCATATTCTGTCATTAACTAGCTCTGTTACATCTCTTTTCTATGACTCTTTGTCTTCATATGATAGAAAAAAATATTATGGTATTTGTCATAGAGGTGGGAAGGCAAACTGATGTAAAACACTCAGCAAATATTAGTATTAGTATAGATAATATTATTGGTATTAGTATAGATAGTATTATTTCCCAAATATTGATTTAAAAGAAAATTTGAGTTAAAAATTATAGTAAACAATGTTTGGATTTCCTTTTAAAAGATTACCTTGGGCTGACAGAGTGGCTCAAGTGGTAGAGTACCTGCCTAGCAAGTGCAAGGCTCTGATTTCAAACCCCAGTACTGCCAAAAAACAAAACAAAACAAAACAAAAAAAACCCAAAAAACATAACCTTAATCTTTTTTTAAAAATACATTACTTATTTATTACTACACTAAATATAATTGGTTTTCAGAGCTACTCTAAAAGAATCCCAGTGAGTGGATATTAGGTATGTATAGCTCTTTGGAAGAAAGGTATAACTTTATTCTCTGTTACGACTACTGATCATCACTTAGGAGCATTTATGTTGCCATTGCCAACATTTCAGGTATACCTGGAGTGCTAGGTAGTTACCATCACGTGGTATATCAGTATGGTTAGGCAAACTCTGTTAAGTGAATGATTGTGTATTAGCACAATTTTTTCATTGTTGTGTATTTCATGAGCCAAAAACTTGCACATCTAAGGCAGAAAAAGTTTATCTTCTTGTACAATATTTGCATATTGTTGAATTTTAAAAGTCAGAAGTATTTTTTTAAAAAGTCAGTAGTAGAATAAAGAGGTATTGTGTGGTTACTCAATTATCTTTTTTTTTCCTACCCTACAAAGCTACAAGTTGCTTTGTTGAATCATGTAAGCCACTCTCAGAAGACATTCTCCAAACCTAGAAATTTTATGTATGTCTGTCTGGCCCTTCTTCCCTTACTCAGCCTTGCGTGGGTGTGTGTGTGTGTGTGTGTGTTAAGTATTTGTTTTGCTGACTCCTAAAATGTGTGTGTGTGTGTGTGTGTTAAGTATTTGTTTTGCTGACTCCTAAAATGTGTGTGTGTGTGTGTGTGTTAAGTATTTGTTTTGCTGACTCCTAAATTTTTATCATTTTTGCCAGAATTATAATTGTAGGGTTCTCTTGTAATAAGCTCGTTTTAGTGCATTTTTTGAAAGTGTGTTCTTAATGGTCTCCAAAAGTATGGAGTATTAAATAGTACTATTTAGTCTACTTCAGTTTATAAAAACCTTTTATCGTCTTCTTTATTAATAAAAACTGTGTCTATCTATCTTTTAAATTATATGCATTGAAGAATGTGGTATAATAGCCATTTACTTGATAAATGCCTCCTCCTTTTGAAAGCTGTACGACTCTTGAAATCATTGATTTGAACAACCTGGGGCCCAAAATTCTAGTGGGCCTTTGGGCTGTGATTTCCCTGTGGGCATCTGGAGAAGAAGAATGGGCTTGCCCTGGCAGCATTGCAGGCAATGCTTATCTTCTTTAGTCATCAACGAAAGCTGGCTTCTGCGTACCTCAAGCTCAGCTGTTCAACTTGCAGAGAATACTTGAATTTTTCCATTGAGAGTTTTGAATTAAGTCCCTTAGACACTTGTTAGAGACTGTTAAGAAACTTTGTTTCTCTTGACCCCTATAATAGAACTTACTAGCTTCTACCTGCTAACTAGTAGATTACAGTACATCCTTACTGTCTGGTTAAAGATTTGAACAAGGTCTTAACAAACCTCTTTTGCAATGTGATAAACTTGGAGCAAATATCATCTGTCAAAATCATTCTTTAACAGATGTTAATTTCTTTGGCCCTTGTTATATCATTTACCTTGTCTATAAAAATTTAAAGGAGATGTTAGAATTTTATATCTCTTTAACCTTTAAGTCAGTTGGCTGCTTTATCTTGTTCATCATAAAATCAGAATTTTGACAAATAGAGCTTCTTTATACAGTGGTAGCACAAAGAAGTTTCTGCATGAACACTTTGCTTCACATACACATAAGCACTATAATTAAAACATTTTCCCTCATTTAAATTGGATCCTTTGTTTTTGATCCTCTGTTTTTTGATGGAACTTGATTGCTCCTGTCTGTTGTGTCAGACAGAGATCTCAACAATCCAGGCCCGACCCCACTTAGCTTCTGAGAGATCAGACAAGATCAAGCATGTTCAAGTTGGTATGGTCATAGCTATTTCTACATGCTGCTTTCCTCCACTGCTTTTTTGGCCTGTTTTCTTTGTACCGTTAACATGGGAAACTTCATTTCTTCCATTTGGCATTAGATGTTTGATCAAAATTCATATGTCAGGTGTTCTCATGTTGGCATGTAAACTATTCCATAGATGTTTGCGTGGAAAATATATTTTATACTTGAAGGACTTTATTTGAAAAGGGCATCTTTGAATTACATCAGCCCTTTTAGAAATCAAGTCAGAACATAGTGTGAAAACAAGAGGAGTGCAGCCTGCTTGTTTGGGAAGGCAAACCCAGGCTCCTTATCTGTGGCTTTTTTTTTTTTTTTTTTTTTTATCCAACCCTTATCTCCACTGCAGCCCTGAAAATGCCTTCTCAAAAAATTACCAACAGCTGCTTTACCAGGAGAGTTACCAAAAGTCACAAATGGTCTCCTCTCTCCCCCACCCTCTCTCTTTTTATAGTGTCACTCAGCTCCTTGAAGGAACAAAATGTACTAGTGTCATTTTCTGTTCAAATAACTCTCCTACAGGAATCATAAACTTCTCCTCTGGACCTGAACGAATATCTGTTGCCTTTAATGGAACTCTTTTTCTTGCCAGAACAGTAACCCCTCTTGATTTACTGTTCAATCTGTATGAAAAACCCGAGTGACCTAATTCTGCTTCAATTTTCTGTACTCGTGAGGACACTAAATGAGTCTCCTGCAGTCATGCAGTATTACATCTTGCTGTTGTTTCAGGAAGTTTAGAATCCTGAATCTCTTTATCAGACTACCTGCTGAATCCCATTGATGGGAAGATGAAATTGTCTGGAGAGGAGCATTATTTAAAATGAAGATTTCTATTAAGAACAACACAACAAAGATATAATTTTCTATGTTAAAGAAGCTTCTCCTGTACCTTTGCTACCACCCCATGTGCTACATCCAATGCATGTAATTTTACTGTGAAATCTACCTTTTCTATTCTCCTAGAGTTTGCAGTTTATACTTTTGCCTGCCTTTCAAAAAGATTCTTTTGTATTTGGAACTCTGAGATTGACTAACCAATTACTAGACCCTTTAGAGAAGCAGTCATCACAGGGAGCTCTCATCTGCTCCAGTGCCCCAGGCACCCACACCCCATCACCACAAGCCCCCACTCCCCACCTCCTCACTTCCCTCTCCACTCCCCACCTTCCCACTCTCCAAATTCAACGTGGTTTGGTCTTAGCACTGTCAGCCCAGGTGTCCTGTGGTTATTTATTTAGTCCTAATTCCAAAGTCCTTTGGAAGATTAACAAAAAAGCACCTATTCCTCTAATTTAGCAACTAGCTCACTTTGTCAAAATTAGTGAGCCAGAGTATACAGGGATAGCTTGAGTTCTAAGATATTCAAATAACAAAGGTCTGCAGTGAATCTAGAATGAAGGTAGTAGGATAACCAAATGGTTGGCCATGTCTTCTCACCCCAAAGTAGTATTAAATTTTCCTTTCATATGACTTAACCGTAAGGCATAAAGTTGTTTCAAAGATAAATTTCCTTTAGTTTTTTTTTCCTTTAAGTGGATTTTTCTCTTAATGTCCTAAGTATTAGATTGACATCTCTTGCTGTTTTTGGAGACTTGGGGGCTAGATGGATAGTTAAGAAAATGAATTGGATAAAGGAAGTGAGTATCTTATTCCATAAGATGAAAATTAAAAGTCAAAATAATCCCTTGACTATCACTAGTAAAAGGGATGTGGAAAACAGTTGAGAAAGTTTGTATGAATTTTACAAAAGAGTAAAATGGTGAAAGTTTGTTATTATTTGAACTAACAAATGTTTAGTTACTTAATGGTCAGAACATTTAAGAGTGCTGTTATTTGTCTTGATGTGCTTAGGTAAAATAACAGCACAGTATAGCAATGATAATATTAGCATATGGTGATGATAAATCATTCAGTCAGTTAGGATCAATAATATATGTATCAAAGAAAAGAGGGAGCTATCATTTTCAACGAACTCAGTGAAAAACAAAACATTTCCTTTACAACCATTTTTAATTTTTTTTAAGAAAATTACACTTTGTTTCCCTTCCAAACCAAATAATTGCAAGTTTAAAAAACAAAGTGCTTACTTTGATATTTGGGGGTGCATGGAGTGTTAAGATAGTTCTCAGTTCCTAAGTAATAAAAGGTTTTATTATTTTACCTTAATGTGCAACATCATAAAGGCTGAAAAAAGCTGTAGTAATTCATTTTTAACCAAATTCTTACTTTTAAACTTTTTAAGTTAGGTCCAGGAAACTGTATATTAATTATCTGCCTTTGTGACGGTGGTGGTTTTGACATTAGGCAGATGAAGGCTTTAACCTTGGCTACTTCCTCTACCAGTTCCTTCAGTTTTTCTCCTCAGTAAAATATTGTAGCATTTACTTTGTAGTGATGTAGGGGTGTGTGTTGTGTGTGTGTTGAACTCAGTGAAAAACAAAACATTTCCTTTACAACCATTTTTAATTTTTTTTAAGAAATTACACTTTGTTTCCCTTCCAAACCAAATATGCAAGTTAAAACAAAGTGCTTACTTTGATATTTGGGGGTGCATGGAGTGTTAAGATAGTTCTCAGTTCCTAAGTAATAAAAGGTTTTATTATTTTACCTTAATGTGCAACATCATAAAGGCTGAAAAAAGCTGTAGTAATTCATTTTTAACCAAATTCTTACTTTTAAACTTTTTAAGTTAGGTCCAGGAAACTGTATATTAATTATCTGCCTTTGTGACGGTGGTGGTTTTGACATTAGGCAGATGAAGGCTTTAACCTTGGCTACTTCCTCTACCAGTTCCTTCAGTTTTTCTCCTCAGTAAAATATTGTAGCATTTACTTTGTAGTGATGTAGGGGTGTGTGTGTGTGTGTGTGTGTGTGTGTGTGTGTGTGAGAAGAGAGAGAGAGAGAGAGAGAATAATAGTGCATTAAGTGCACTTAACTTAGTGCAGTCAATATGTACTCGGTTAATTCATTACCTCTTTTATTACGATTTCTTTGTTGAAATTCATTCTCAGACAGTTTTGTCCCAAATTTAAGGAAGGTTGTTCTAAAAATAGATTTAAATGACATATAATTCTTTATAAGAACAGGACTTAAAACCAGTTTATATGTGTAACAATAATAATATTCCACGTGAATGAAGAAAAGTATCTTTTATTTTCTAATCTGCCTTCAGTATAGGCAAGTACCTGCAGTTACATTTTTGATGGTGTCTAAAGTGAAAATCCCCTGGCATACTTTTCTAGAAACTCAGATTTTCAAGGCTATGTACTGCTGCCCCTGATTTTTGAAAATGCCTAATTTGTCCTCTTTTCTCAAACAAGCCCTGTGCACAGAGGAAGTGGTTTGTGGTCGTCAGGGCTTTCTCTGAATGTCTTGGATTGGTTGGCTGATTTGTGGCCTCAGCTTCTAAAACTGCTCTTGCCCAGTCTGCTTTAGCTCTTGTCATCGTCCTCAGTATGTTGGCAAGGAGGACAAATGGCTTGGGTGCCTGAGGACAGAACTGGAAGTTAGAAAGCTCTGTGGTCTCAGCTCTGCACTGTGGCTGGCTGGGACTTAGGGAGCAAGCCAGACTTTCCTATCTCTCCTTTCCTCTGTCTGTTAAGAGAGAGCAAGGTCATTAGATTTTCCCCCTAGATGTAGCATGGGGCTTCTTTCTGGATGTTAGAGAGAAGTTATGTAGAATGTCAGAGTGTTGAGTAACATATAACACCTGGCTGCATCAATCAGAGGTAGATTTTCTCTGCTTAACATCAGAAATTCTAGTTGGTTGTCAGAAACGGACTGTCAGTTTCTGGAGTATGTTTTGCCATGAATGTAAACTTTAACCTGTTGTCGATCATTGAAGACTAAATTGTAATGTATATTTCCATCTCCCTCCTTCCCCCATTTCATTACTTTTTAGACTTCAGGCTCGCATAGCTCACAGGATACAAGAACTAGAAAATCTGCCTGGCTCTTTGCCACCAGATTTACGAACCAAAGCAACCGTGGAACTGAAAGCACTTCGGTTACTCAATTTCCAACGTCAGGTAATACCTTTTCCCCAGTGCGTCTGAGATGTAGGAAATAAATGTAATTGTTCCTGGAGTGTGATGTGTGAGTTACTTGAAGTCTATTCAATATTGTTATAAGATAGAAATTTAGTAAAATAGCATACCTTTTAGTCCAACAGCACATAGCTAAAAGTAATAAGAATGAACTGCTTATTATTGTTTTTCTGTTTGATATATCAGAACATTTTTTTCTCTTGCACTGTGGTTTATAAAATTATAGAGTTATTGTATTTTGTTACTATGGATGTAAAGCCTTGAGAAAAAAATTGGGGGAGACTTGTGTTTGTTTACCTTTATGGCTCCAAGAAAAAACAAGAAGGTAGTGTATCAGAGCTTCTCAGTAAGGCACAAATGTGAAATGCTAGCCATGACTAGCATTTAATTTTAATAAATACAGTAGCTACTGTACCAAATTAAAAGCTCACCATTTGTAAAAGCACACAGAAACAGTGTCTTTTTAACTTGATTATTCATCAAAACTTTGTGACAGTTGGTCACATCAAACCCACATGTTGACTAATTTTTGATTTGTTATCTAGTCTTGTTATGGTTCATAGTAGTCACTTGTTACAAGTTGGTGTAATAGTCTATTTTCTGATTTCTAAGTCGGTAGGAGAGTGAGGTAGAACTAATTTTCCCTTGGGTGAGTTTTGCTGTGTAGACCCACATGGTACAGGTCTCCAGGCCACAGATTACCTAATGTAAGCCAAATGGGATAAGGAACATTTCATTGTCAGTCAGATGGTTTGTTTTATTAAAGTCTGGGGCATGCAAAATGAATTGTTAATGAATAAACGTAGTTCGGAAGTATTGAATTGCATGATTTGGTCTGTGGGAGGATGTGACTAAAATCATAAGGCCCTTTCACTTGCTGTTGTTATATGGACTTGGTGTACATTTGACTTATTGGTTGTCATATCACAGAAGGGCCGAGCACTACTTGGCAATAGGTGTGTGAGAGAAGATTGCATATTAAGTTAAATAAAGTGAAAATTTTTCCAAGTTTCATTTACTTCTTTCTTATATAGGTGACTTCATAATATGAATTAATGTAGTGCTTGATATAATTTTGTTCAATGTATATTAGCAAAGTATACTTTTGGGAATAAGCTTCGCCTATGCTGGACTTGTACTGATCTCTGATTTTTTTGATACTGTTGGAAAGCTGGTATCTATAAAGTTTCCTGATTACATTGACTGTAATTAATGCTGATTTCAGATTCATTTGAGTGATTACTGTAACGTGTGCTCCCAGTATCCTATTCCCTACCACCACGTAACATGTAATGTGGATAAAATATTGTATTATGAAAATCTAAAATAAGTCCGTAATATAAACTAAAATCTAAATATCTTGCAAAGAATATCATTATTGGAGTGTGAAGAAACCAAAACTGGTATTACTCATAATTAATTGGACTTTATGAATTCACATTGTTTGAGTGCCTGCTGCTACCTACAACATGAATGGAAAGTAACTGTTTTATTCTTTTTGGAGGTCATTATTAAAGGTAATCTTTAAACACAAGAGTTGTTAGTATGACATTAAGAATGAAGTGAAAAATTTGAAAAGCTTATTAATTAATATCATTAATTAGAGTAATTAAATAGAATGAATCATTTTATTTAAAAGCCAGGACAATATCTACATTTTTTTCTTTTCTTTTTTTTTTTTTACCGTTACAGTACTATAATTGTTTTTGATGTGAATCATTTGAAAGAAAATTTATACCATCTTTGAAAATGCCATGTAAATCTGACTTCATTTGAGTTCCTTCATTTAATAAAAGGCCAAGTGTAACTGGGAAACTTGTAGGTAGACTCCCCCTCCACTCCTGTTCTGTCCCATTAAATGGAAAGGAGAGACGGTCAGGGCTCAGGAGCTGGCCTCTATTTGGGAGGCTGTCTAACTGCTCTCCTCTTGTGACAGCTGAGACAGGAGGTGGTGGCCTGCATGCGTAGGGATACCACCCTGGAGACGGCTCTGAACTCCAAAGCTTACAAACGGAGCAAGCGCCAGACTCTGCGAGAAGCCCGCATGACGGAGAAGCTGGAGAAGCAGCAAAAGATTGAACAGGAAAGGAAGCGCCGGCAGAAACACCAGGTCTTTGAACTCTGGGCTTTGTTTACCCTCACCTAGACAGAAATGTCCCACGTGGTTTTTGGACAGGGTCAGAGCAATTGTAAGCATATCCACTTGCAGGTGGTGGTAGGGGTATCATAGAAACAAAAGGTTCCTTGTACTTTATATAGTGCAGCCATATCATTTTAGAGACAGGAAACCTAGGCCAAGACAGATAAATGGTGGCCTGCCCAAGGTTACCTAACTGGTCAGTAGCAAGATGAGTTTTAGAACCCAGCTTCTTGAATTCTAATCAAGTATTGTCAAGTTGAGGTTGCTGTCACAGAACACCAGAGACTGGGTCATTTATCAACAATAGAAATTTATTTCTCACAATTCTGGAGGCTGGAAGGCAAAATCAGCACTCCCGCTTGGTCATGTTCTAGTGAGGCCTCTTACAGTTTTCCATTTAAATTCTTATGCCCTCACATGTCAGGATGGGAGTAAGAAAGCACTCTGGGGCCCCTTAAAAGGATACTAATTCCACTGAGGAGGACCCCACTTCCTGACACCATCACAGTGGGAGGGACACTTTCAGGCCAAGACAGGTGTCATACTCATATTCTCATGGAAAGCTGCTGGATGGGTGGGGATGACTAGGTTTCCTAGAGCAAAATCCTGGGGAGAGGTTACTTGGAAAAGGAAAGAAGAGGGCAGAAGGTTATTTGTACAATGATATAGTATTCCAGGCTCTTTGAAGGGCCCAGTTGGGGATTTCATAGGGGCAAATCTATTAAAGCATTTCTTTCCAGGGGGTTAAAGATGTTTGATGTAGGATTTGTTTTTGTGTCAGAATCCTGTACTTTTTGTTTCCCTGTGCTTAATTTGGTGTCTTAGTTTCCTTTTTTAAAAAAATTAAAGTTAAAAAATTGGTAAGTAGGGTACACATTTCCTCTCGTTGACTTAAAAAGTGAATTTAAATTATGTATGGCAACTTTAGCATTATAGGAAGTTCTTTTGCATCACAGTTCTAACGTATTTAAGTTAGAGAAGAAATCTTACTTTTATAACATGATTTTCAATGGAAATACCCAGGTCCCTCAGGTTTATTTTAGGGTGAGTGATATGTTTTAAATTTTATCATTGCCATTTCATAGTTCTCCCTCAGTCTTTGATCTTTCCATATTCAAGAGACCACACCCAGGAGGTGGAGGCAGCTTCTCTTCCACAGGCTTAGAACAACAGGGATGTGGAAAGCCCTTTTTCTACCAGCCCCATAGTCCACACCTCAACTGTAAGACATACCTGGTCCCTATCCCAAAATAGATTCTAGTCTTTAAATTGTGTCAATTGTACACTAAGAGTCTTCTTGAACTATGCCAATACCTCCAGGACATTGGAAAATGGATTTTAAGTGTCCTTTTCTCTCTCCTGTGAATCCTTTAGGAATACCTGAACAGCATTTTGCAACATGCAAAAGATTTCAAGGAATACCATCGCTCTGTGGCTGGAAAGATACAGAAACTTTCCAAAGCAGTGGCAACTTGGCATGCCAACACCGAAAGGGAGCAAAAGAAGGAGACAGAGCGGATTGAAAAGGAAAGAATGCGGAGATTGATGGTAAGAAGCCCCTGAAGGAGACCAGGAAGATGCTCTGGTCACATCCTTCTGTACGGAGAATGTGACATATGGCAGTAGGACAAGGAGAAAGTGAACGCTGATTATCAAATGTGTTTATAAGTTTCTTTGAACTTCTGGAGGACGGAGTGAGAATTTTTTCTTCTAGACACAAATCCAGGGCCATACCTGATGAGTATAGTGTTTCTGTGTCCTAGGGTTCCATTGCTGTCTACATTATAGTTTTTCATGTGAAGGCAGGTACTGTATTTTGCAAAAGTTTGATAACCAGATCTAGAAGAATGACAAATGTAGTTCTTTTAAAAATATGACCTCTTTGAGATGAATGAGTAAGTTTTTTCAATGAGAAATTCATTAGGCCATGTCTTTGAATCCAAGAAACTCTCTTCTTTTTGAAGCCTCCTGGTGCTTATTGTTTATCTTTTTTTTAGTGTCAGAAATTTC